AGGAAGCTGTAGCAGTAAACATTTTAGTTTGGAAAACGTGGATGAAATAAATGCAGGCCACTGAATTAGTTTTCAGACAAGACACAGTAGTACACTAGTACCGAATGTATGGCTTTAGTGCTTGAATTTACGCATATTTATTAAGCTAGGCATTAAGCATTTCATTTAAAAAACATAAGCTCGCATGCCATTTAACAAATTTACCGAATGAAAGGGAATGTTCTGTGACCAACTCGAGCTTGAGTATAGGCGCAGGTTTTCCAGTTTTTTGTCGTTTGGCATGGTAACTGCGGACCGGTAATGACGCTGTCATTTTCGCAGTTTGCAGTTCATATTTCGGATTGTCAGGGGCGATTAGACCAATATCTAATGCCCAGTATTTGATGATCACTGCAGGCGAACTTTCAGATATATAGAAATATGTCTTTTCTATAGCCAAATTGAAGCTCACCATTTTCCCGTCTGGTACGTTTTGGGCAGCGCGTTAATGCTTCACTTTTTCGAATTTCTGTCACCCAAGCACGTTGAGAAGCAGCTTTCTTAAAAATTTTGGTTTCGAGCAGACGGCCTTCCACAGTTTCGCACTACCAGGAACTAAACATGGGCCATTTGAAGTCCTTAATAAGTTTTTTCCATCCAACTGACTGACATCCACAAATTCACAACACGACCAGCAACATTGTAACCAAAAACATAAATAGGTCTAACATAAATAATTAGGCTTGCACATGGACACGAGAAGCTGCTGGGCTTTAGTGTCCAGGCTGTTAATCAGTTACGGACGGTGCTTATGTATCCCGACCCGTATGGAGATCCGTTAGAGCAACATGCAGTAGTTGTCAAATAAGAACTCTCACGCTTTGTAATCCATCGTTTCCGGATTAAACTTCGTTATTCGATCCGTTGAAGTCGCCATTGTCACGCTTAAACTAACGCTTACTTCCCTCTTTCCACTTAAAGTTAAACCATTACTGCACACTTCACGCCAACCACAGAAAGTCCTACTTGAGGAACGATACAAGGAGGAAATGAGAACTTTTCTAAATCTAAAGACGATGCTGTTAACTGGCAAGCATGCGACAGCCATGTGAAAACCCGGCCAACGGAACGGGGCTTCTCGGCAACCGGCGTTCGGCCGGAATGCCGGGAAAGCAGTCAAAGTGGATATTAGCGACCGTTCGGCGGCTTTTGGCCGCTTTGTCGGAGTGCCGGTTTGCAGTGAATTACGTTAAAGAATATGCATTTAAGAAGAGATTATACCGATTTCGACCTCTTTTCACTATTCAGGAAAGTATTATTCATAATTTAAGCAGTTGTGCTTCGACGTTATTGTATTGCGTTTGAGGAGTTGTATATCGGCGCAGTTTGATATTCTTACAAGCAGGAGTGCTTATTATTAAAGAATCCGATATAACAAAATAATAAAGAAGGTGCTCGTTAGGCAGATTATAATAGTCAGTAATAAGTTCAATTTTTTGGTGAATTTTTGGACTAAAGTATAGCATTAGACTAAATTCGACATCGGCTTATCGGTCGTTTCCAAAGAACTATTCGTTTGGGTGATGTTAGGATTTATGATTTGAAGCCGCGCATTTTCGGTGAGATAATCTTTCTTGGAAATGAGGAATCATGTTTGAGAAAATGGCGCATCGGCAGTTGGCTGACTGATCTGTGGCGTCCAACGCCATCCATTCTCCGTTCACAATATTTCCTTTTCCGGCATCTTTGGAAAATGGATTGGGCCTTTGATGTTGGAAATCGTCACATCGATGACAATAATAAAATTCTTCGATCGCCTGAGATTTGCCGCTACCTGGTTTCGCAACAATCAAGGCATTAACTGCAGAACAGTGAACGTTTCCATGTTCAACTAGTACTTTCTCACCGTATAACGTTGCTACAGCTCCCAGAATCGATATAAAAATGGCATTTTCCTTAGATCGCCTGGTCGCTGCGTAATAAGTGATGGATTCCAGCAAACTTACTTCGATATAATCACCAACATTATGCATGAAATTTTTCGTAGCAAGCTCGGCGTAAACGGTCAGCTGTTGCGCGAGATATTGTAACTGCCTGCCCCTTATTTCGCATAGGAAAGTGTGGTACTGTACAATTCGCTATTGAGAAAGGTCTTCTAAAGCGCACAATAAACTGCCATAACCACGAAAATGAGTAACTACTGTATCTATTGTTAATCGCTCTGGTCGTCTATTTCGCTGGTCATACAGCTATACATAGAACAGGTGCACGACTATCCATCAAACCTGGGACTATTTTGACCACAGTAATGTGCCTATAGACACACTATATACGAGTATCTCACTTGTTTGTGGTCAATGAAAACTCTAAAACAGAGAACAACTGCGTTTGAAGTGGGTACAAGCGAACAAACGTGTTCGTCATGGCTGTCCATTATGAGGGATATTTGTTACATGATGATCCAGGAAGAGTTAAGCTTATCTCGAATAGCCGGACCAAGATAACTGTCGAAATCTACGAAAGTTATTTATTTATGTAAACGAAAATATGACCGCGGAGGATTTTTGGTGAATTTCACTAGGACCATTGGTGGGATTTGTCGCGAAAACAGAGAAGCATTTGTCTTCGCGATATAGTTGCTGTTCGCGATCGTATCTGAGCAACTAGTACAGAGTACTTAGCAAAAGTAGGGGGGGGTTGTTCCACAAGTAGCCCTTTAAGAACTTTTAGAATTTTTAGAACTTTTTCGTGTCAGTGGATAATTGCCACAATATATTTCTACAAAATGCCCTGAATGCCGATATTTTATTCCCGGGATGCTTACAGCATATTCTGTTCAATACAGGGCAGATTTTCCTCTTGCTCGTTTCCCCAAAAGGGCACACAGAAACATTTCCGGCCAAAACGGTAGCGATAAAGGCGAGTAATGACAAAATATCCCTACAACCTTTGTGCGCATCAGAACTGCAGCCTGCAGTATTTAATATTCTCGTACATTTCACAATCGAAATCACGAACATCGTCCGTGGCACTGTCCGTGGTTTCTACTAACTGCCGTTTAGCTGCAGCCTGGCTGCGTCATCCAAGTACGGCACAGCGCCGGTTGCCTTGCTTCGAAAGAAAGCCGCCGGTTCATTTTTTCGTTTTTTTTGCAGCCGTCACTGAATTCAACAGCCCGATATGGTTTCCGGTCATCGGCCATGAACAGACAAAGTACTTAGCTCATCTTCTATTGATAGGCTACTCGTAGGCGATTTCTTGTTAAATACCTTATGTGATGATGACACAGAGTACAACTCCGAGACAAAATAATTATTTAAAACCAGCCACCACTTATTATAAGCCGTACAAGATCTTTGTTGACAAGGAGAGCTTCTATAACAAAAGCAGATGTGCACTTTTATTCGCAGAGACGAGCAGATTGCGATCGCTCACAAAAATGCAAATACTCTTTTCATTTACATAATGTATTTTACGTACATCTAGTAAAATGAGTGCAGCAACGATTTAATTCCAGTTCCATTCCGATATTACAGAACTTATTGTTTCCGTTTTGAGCAGCATTAGGATGCCGTAAATGACAATCCTTTGCCTGCCCATTGCGGAAATATAAGGCTGACCAAGTTTACCAGTCTAAGCTTTCATTACTCAAAGTTGTGAGAAAACAGCGTAATATATGTAGCGAAAATTCGAAATGAAGCAGATTCTTTGGCATTCAGCGCCCCAAAAAATATTTCTTGCAAAGAAACCAACTTCGTTATGAGTAAATAACATAACTGTCAATGACTGTTATGATGATGTATAACCTGTTTGGTAAATGACAACGCGAAAGGTGGTTACTGGCGAAGGAAGCGCGATTAGTTTCGCAGTGTTGGATAATATTTTAAAATTATTTTTTAATGACCTTTCCAAAATAAAGGTAATACTATCCAGTACATAAGTGCCGAGCGCGGATGCGCGAGGCACTATAATTTAATTATTACTGGTGTGGCAGATGCAGGTAATCTGATAAAAACGTTGCAGGGTAATGTATTTTACCTGTTATAACTCTTATTCTTTATTACTTTGTTATGTTTCGATATCTTGCGCCTTGTGTTGGATTTGACCAATGAAGTTTTCCAAATTTTGAACAAGAAACACCTACGAATTCGTCATACTGTTAAACCCAGGCTTGTTAATTTGTACGAGTAGATAAATAATTGAGAACTGGATTCTACACAGATACACTGCACAGATGTAAACTTACAAGAACGCATTCACATATTAAAGGCATGCAATTAAATTTTAATAAATTTGGTTCTAAAATTGAGAAAGTTTTTACGGTAGAATGTTCAGTAAGAATGTAGAATGTACAGTAAAATGTATGTAGAATGTAAGTACAGTTACAGACTTACAGTAGAGTAGATATGGAGCACACACTGGTTACTGTTAGCAGGCGCCATCGCAGCAAACTTATATGCGCCGCATTTATTTTCAAGACATGCCACTGGCAGCAGGCGAGGAACATCTTAGAAAACGTCGCCGATAAGAGTACAACGCTGTCGCGACGATGAAGGTAGATGCAAACGCTGGTGGTTTGTTAATTCAACAGGTCTATGGGTACACCGCTTACGCCCAACAATAGAAATGCAAAATCAAGATTAAAAAAATCTATAATTTTAATTTTTTTACGTTAATAATTATTAAATAAAAATGACTTACAAGTTGTGATAATAGTAGTCTTCAAAACTGAGTCTGATATTTCAGTTTTTCAGAAACAAGTTAGGAGTGCAGTATCGCTCATTCCTGAAATAGTATTCCGTAAGCCTGTAAGGCGTAGTACAGTGGCAGAACTGTGGCAAAAAAATGTCATCCAGCTTTTAATTGCGCTAATTGACAGTTTTTCAACTGTCATAATTCAACAAAGACGTAAACAAGAGCAACAGCTTATTTTTTCGCTTCATGTTACAAACCAAATTACAGTTAAGAACTGCTGAAGGCTTTAAATTAAAGTTTCTTCCTTTAAAATTTATTTGTAGGGGTACGTACATACATACTAAGGCAGCTACGGAGTACTTAGAGTGCGAGGACGAGCTGTGGATTCGTGATCACGGTTCACCTAAAATACCAGGTAATAATAATTCGGTTGTTTTTGCTGGGAAGGCTAATTTTTGGTGTTTTTTTTTTGTAATAATAATTCGGTTGTTTTTGCTGGGAAGGCTAACGGTCAGTATGTCAATATTGAGAAATTGACACCCGCTAACTCTCAGTTCCCAACATCTACACAGGTCAAAAGGTAAGCTGCCATGAAGATGCTACATAACAAACCGGCTTTACAAAAACCTTGTTGCTGCAATACTCGCATACCCTCCAACGAGCGAATGCGAAAAATGCCACATTTTTGTACACGCTAATAAACTAACATTAATTGCAAATGCGTGCAGTGTACCGTATGCTATGAAACGAAATCTAACTACGTACGGTACTTATTTTATCTACCCTAGTAAAGTAAACATGGCCCACAAGAGCGCCATGGCAACAGAAAAGTAAACTTATCGGTGCGATCTCAAAAGGCACATAATGCCCACATTATTTTCTTGCGAACTGTGCGACATTGGCTACTTCAGTTAATACTGCAATTACTTATCTATGTTCCAAAATTATCGCTAAAAATCAGGTTACTTCAGATGGGCATTCGAGATGTGGTGGGTGTTTCTTTTCAGAGTCATTCTGCTTCCTCATTGATATACCCTTACTGTTCTACACGAATTCCACGATCGACAACTACAGGTAAGTCCGGTTTACTATACATTCGGTGGATTAGGCCAAGGTCAAAAGGAGGAAGGAAATTTTAGAGGAAGGAAATTTTGTGTGGTCAAAAGGAGGAAGGAAATTTTTCGGGTCAAAAAGAGGGAGGAAAGTTTCACATTCGGTGACATAATGATAAAATTTTTTGACGAATCAATTTTTATAACCCAACTCCCGATAGCGCTTCGAAACATGTCAACCGTTTCACACGAAGAACAAGAAATCCAAAACAGAAATTTCTTTCAAAAACACGACACAAAAATAACGAAAAAGCGACTGCGTTTTGCTGAAGATATCGAATACTTTGCTTAAGACATATGGCATATGCTGATCATCCAATTGTGAAACCAAAATAAATACTGTACTACCGAAAATCTACATACGCCGTTCGGGCGTCTTCATCAACCTTCCATATTACTGCCAGATGGTTATGCCGTTGTCTAGCAAAATTTAAAAGGCACTGCCTATAGGCACCTTTCAGCCCCGTTATCTGTAGGCATCCCCTGTTTTCCGTTGCTATGTTTCCAAGGTCGAGGTTTCTTGACAATATTGGAGAATTTTTAAAAGTGATTGCACTCCCATGGCTAAGTTTCCGGTTGTGCAGAGACAGTTGCCCGGCACGAATCAATGCGGGCCAATGGTCTGCGCTTGGTAGTGTGAAATATAGAAGGGCACCTCAGGCGCACCTGCCAGAGAATGCAGTATTTACCAAAGCTCCCACGCCCCGCCCCACCCAATGCATCCGGCTGGCAGAGAGTCTTGAAACTGGTTGCAAAAGGGGATGCCTATAGCAAACGGGGTGAAAGGGGTGCCTATAGCCTCACTCAGTTAAAAATTCATAGTACAACAGATAATTTTTTATCTAAGTGCTTTGTATTAGAATTGCCCAACGACATCTTCACGAAAATACTTACTGGGGAATGACGCTTTGTGCGAAATGCGTTCATATGCGTCGCCGTTTTTGTTCGTCCACCGGCTAGATTACACCCGTCAGCTACGTCGGTCTGGACACGGAAAGGTTGGTTGTTTTGATGAGCTATAAAGGAATCAGACAAGATCACACTCCGGTGGCATCGTAAAGGGCTTTTGTCCAAAATGTGTTTGTCGCTCACACAGGCTTTGGTCGGGTAGTATACCGGTATGTTATTGTTATGTCGAGTTCAAGCGCAGTGCTCGGTACGAGGCAAGTGTCCCTTAAATTAATAGACGCGTTTTGCCTTACCATAAATTGACAACCTAAACCGCAATGTGCGAACCAGGCAGCCACCATGGGTTGGCAGCATGTAATCCAAATGGTGACTGCATTGCTCCCATTGACTTCGACGTTAAACTGAAAGTTATGAACGTTTATGGGTTCTCGTAGACATAGCATAGGACCCTCTTCAACGGCTCCTCGCACGAATCTTATGCTGTGTCTACGAGAAACTACAAATGTTCATAACTTTGTTTGCTTGCCATGAAAACTTACTTGCTAGGTACCAAAAAATTCCCAAATTTTTTCTCCATTATTTTGAACGTGAGTTCGCAGGTTCGGTTGAGATTTTTGCGAATGTAAATGCCAACTTACTTTAACGTTAAGTCAATGGCAGCAATGCAGTCAACCGTTTGTATTACGCGATGCCAGCCCATGGTGGCTGCCAGGTTCGCACATTGCGGTCTAGGTTGTCAATTTATGGTAAGGCAAAACGCGTCTATTAATTTAAGGGACACTTGCCTCGTATGGTAATAAGATGCAAGGCATTTGCGCGCCATTTTTCGAGCGATGATGCAATAGTCATTGAGGCAATAGTTATTATGGAATGCTCCGGAAGTACATTTAATAATTTATCGGTGGTTGTATTAAATACGGGAGTTTTAGGAAAACCAAAAAATTTTCCTTCCTCTTTTTGACCCGAAAAATCTCCTTCCTCCTTTTGACCACACAAAATTCCTTCCTCTAAAATTTCCTTCCTCCTTTTGACCACACAAAATTTCCTTCCTCTAAAAGTTCCTTCCTCCTTTTGACCACACAAAATTTCCTTCCTCTAAAATTTCCTTCCTCCTTTTGACATTGGCCGTGGATTATCCTTTCGGCATAAAGGTAATCTAATTCGACAAATCTAAAAGATTTGTTTACTTGTCACAAATTAATCTGCGGCTTGGGCGCGCTGTGCTGTCGCAGGAAAATCTTTAATGGATCCAGTGGTGATCCGGCTTAACTTTTCTTCGCACACCCTTGAGCAATCGGCAGGCAAGCGGCTGGGCGCAACCGGCATTTGGCAGGACAGTGGACGGCAGTGTCTTGGCACCTGACAAAACTATCAAAACTCTGAATTTGCTCATCGGTTCGGTAACGGAACGTAATCGCTGTCTTCTGAAATACGATCCTCTTCCTCGGGAAAGGACACTTCATCCTCCAGCGGTAGGTCTTCGTTTTCTGCACACCCTGATTCAACCTCATGGTTTCCATAAAAACCGCCTTGCACGCTCTACAACGTTTAAATACTTACATCACGTTTTATAACACTTAAATGTTCCTTTTCGACAAATGACTGTTATTTATTTCCCGTGAACCCCATCGTGCTCAGCCAACGAAATGGTTTCTGCAAAAACCCCGCCTAAATAGTCATCTTAGTTATCTCAGTTATCTTAGTTAGCATCGGAGAAGGTTGGCGCAGTATACACTAACCAGCATTTCACTCTCGCGTATCCCGTGTGGTGGTCGGGAAATCGAGTGCAGCCTTGCTCGAATCGCGCCTGCACACCACCGTTGGCTAAGGACAACCCTTTTCGCGCACTGCAGTGCACTGATGCTGTTACTGGTGACGGCTTGCTGATAGGGAACTTTAGCTGTAGCAGAATCTCCGAACGCTTTTGCATTATGGCGAACAAAGAAGTTTGTAAACACGACTTTTTGAGCGCTGGTCATCAAAGCTATGCATTTGAGATGTTCGTATGGATCTGAACATCTGACCTTTAAAAACAAGCATTGTTAGAAATGCTTAATATTACCCGTAAAATATGACTACCTTATATTATAGTATTACTCTATTTATAGGTAGTAAATTAGTAATACAGTATACTACATGACGTGCTACACTACATGACGATAAAATTGATCGTGGCCAAGACCACTGCCCTGCCAACTGCCCATTGCCCTCGTGAAAATAAAAGTTACTAAAAACATCCAGTTACCAAAAGAAGTACTTGTAAAGTTACGCTAAACTTACAAAAATGTTTTCATGACAGCCGATTATAACTTGGACCTTTCATATAACTTACGGAATACTTCAAGTTGGTCAAGAGTGACTTACTCGTATTACAGCATTGACGCACAGTCACGCACTATATGTAATCTTAAGCATAATAAGCAGCTACCAATGGACCTAAGTTGCATCACTGCATAGCTGCATAGTGCGTTGCTGCTTTAATTATACAGCGCAACTGCACAAAAACATTTTATGCTATGTAGTTTTAAATATTAAAATATTAAACATATGATTAATCTTTCGTTAGTAATTGCACATGTATCATGTATGTATACAATACATATTCCACTTCAGTTTATGTTTCTGTGGTTCATACAGACAATAAACAATGAATTGAATAATTCGGTGGCGTCGTAAAACAAAATAACCAATGTGGCTTTTAATTACTAGCAAACTAGTAAATAAATAAGACTCCGTACTGCAATAAAATTTTATTACAACAAATTACAAATATAGCAATACATTTTTGTGGCAGTATACGAAGCTATGTGAAAGGTATGCAAGTTACCCCACGAGGTGGCGGCCGCAATAAGGGCGCACGGTCGAGCACGTAAACATAGCTCAGCTCGCTAATAACGCAGTCGAGCCGTTGAAATTCAACACACTTGTGACCTATAGGAAATTTCAAATTATCAATAATTATGAATCAGTTTGTTTCACTTTTTGGAGATTTAGTTTGTTTAATGTTTTATTACACTTTATTTTGATGCTAAGGGTCGAACAGAAAATGATAAGGTCTGAAACCATACGTGATTCGTAGCATCTGTATGGAATTTTGAAACGTTGAGTCAGAAAGCAGTACCAGGTTTGACTGCTTCTTCACGGGTCTACGAGCAGAATCGCCGTTGAGAGCGTCTCTGCTGAATGAGGAGCCTGCAGCTGGGTTGTTGGACGAACCTGCCTTGATTCTCAGTCATTCTTTCTGTTACAACAGGTATGATGTCTGGTTTTAAAATGTTATATAAACGCAGCCATATGATTTTGGAGTCGACTTCGTTCTAGTAAGCGTAGAAAATCGAAAATTCGGAAAGTATTTAAAAAGATCGATTTAAATTTTTTGTCTTTGTTTTACACTGGACTGAGTCGACTCTCTCTAATTTGCTTAAGTATTGTATTTTGTCACAGGTTCTTCGGTTATTTTTGGAGTTGGCTCCATGGAACGATCTCTCTTCCCCTTCGTTAAGCAATAATTACTGGCACCTTCGTTGCGAACGCACACGAGCGCACACTGGGCCTTTGGATGGAGGTGTGAAGCATACTGTTAGTCTAAGCAAAGGTGAGCTCCACAAACTGGATCTAGACGTTGAGTAAATTGAGTAAGTTAATTGTTAAGTAACTGAATTTGTGTTCGTGCGGACCAAAATTATTAATTTGTGGTAAATGTTTTCCCGTTCCTTAGGAAACTAACGGATTTCATTGCCCATTTGATGGACTGGAGTCGACTCCGGAACCGAAGCAGGCTTTTTGTGGTTTAATTTCTGGCTTTTGCATTATATTCTTCCTATTTAAATTTCTGTATTTTAAGACAGCAAGTGCAGCACTCAGACGATAGTTTGATGTTTATTTGTGGGTCTTTTTCTGTCATTTCAGTGTTATTTTTTGTTCGTTGAGTCGAAGTATGTGCAAAATTACGAGTAATGTGCGGCAAAAGTTACAATAAAGCTTCTGACAACGATAAAGCAAAAGTTCTGAATACAGTACAATAAAACTTCTAAAAACGACTGCCAAATTAAGTTGGGAATTATAAGTTCTACACTAACTTTTACAGCACAGAAAGGTATAGCCGCTGTTCAAAGATTGTTACAAAAAAACTTATACATTTTCACGAGGG